CAACAAGATATTAACATTCATGGAAAAACTTTACATAACTTTATATTAAAGCAGACAGTACAGCAGCCACCGTAAGAAAGGCTTACAGTATTCAATTATGTCACATTAAATGATCAGTAGATTATTGCTAGGGAACGCAAAAGAAAACAAAATTCCCATGTCCCCTGGAGGGCTCCGTAGTTTTGCATTAAAGAGGTTAAATTATGTTTCTAGAACATTCCTCCAAACACCAGTCAACTTTGAACATTTGTGGACACAGAGTCTTTTCCAAGCAGCCAGTCCATTTAGATAGTCAAATTCTACCTGAAAGTAATCTGAGTAGTTCCAGCCATAGACATAATATAAGAATAGACGCCTCATGGACCGCTCTCACCTATTGTCGCTGACGAGATTTAGGGCGGCAATCTTGGAGCGGTCGACCGCTCCACTCAGCGTTATATGTTTGGCAGGCACAATGACATCAGCGCATTTAATCGATTATAACACGCTTTTTTGTTACTGGAAATCATATTCAAACATCTATCAAAGCTACATTTATAAACAATTGTGTTTTTTAAGTATAGTTTTTATTGCATTTATACATAGTTCAGCATATTTAAATATGCTTAGTAGGGATAACAATGGAATAGGAATAAATATTCTGATATTGATGTATGATGAGCATTTTACAAAGCACACAGCCGTTCATAATTTATTTAATAAATTAGTAATATCAATACATATTTATATAAATATACAAACACAAATAAATAATGATTAACACTGAATAATATATATATATATATATATATATATATATATATATATATATATATATATATATATATATATATATATATATACATGAAATATTTAAGTTATATGTCAAAGAGCAGTATGTATCTTTTATTAGACATTTTTTTTACATCTTTGTTGAAACTATCACTGTGTTGTTACTGTATGATATGAGACAGATAATCTGTGCACTTCTCCAAGTGCACCAAGTGCTAACTAGAAAGAAACAATCAGATCTAACAGGAGGGCCTTAGTGATGTGAGTCAGCTGTCTGTGTGGCGCTGCTGTTCCCTCTTTTCCTTCCCGCTTGGTCTCTGCTACGCTGCAGCCAGCACAGCCTGCTATGAATGCTGAGTATAGTTAGCATAGCTACTGATGACGGCTGGGAAGTTGTTTTTCTGTAACGGTAAGTTGTTTCTCCATTATCAGATCACAGCAACGATTACATACGGTTGATTGATTGCACTAAGGCCCACCTCTGGGCTCTGATTGTCTATTTTTGGTCAGGACTTGGGAGTGAGCTCAGGGAGGAGGTGGAAGAGTTTTCTCTTTTCACAGACTCTGTCTCATAACATGACATGGTGACAGTCGTAATAAATATGTGAAAAACATGTTTTTTTTTAAATAAAAGTTAGATTTGTTAAAAAAAACCTTTTAGATATTCATTCCTACCCAGAAAAATAAATGAAATAAATCCAAAAAAGCAAAGGCATCCAAGCTCATGATGAGTATTTTCTTTCCTTATTATTAGCAATGTGGAGTATCAGTTTCTAGCTTATGTATGCACCACCATCTGCTCATTGCAATGCATTTTTTTAAATTGACTTTAAAAGCATTAGTGAAATTATTATCAAGCAGGGTTGCAAAGTGGAGACAGAATGCAAACAGTCTTTCTAGGATGGCTGACTTTTGTGACTCCACGTCTGTTTAAACAAACCCTGAGCCTGATGGAAGAGTGAAGAGGACTATTGATGTATCACAGGAAAAACACTTCAGTTTGGGAGAATGCAACATTGTCCAATATGCTGATAATATATGGAACTTAGACCATGTAACTCAGCCTTGGAGTAATAAATGTCATGTTGAGTATGGTCATAATAAGTATACATTGTTGTCTTATCCCTGGGTCTTTATTGAATTTTCCTTACACCTGTCAAACCTCAGGTAGAAGATGGATTAGTGGACACATGAAAGATTTCATTGTTTGCTGGTTTTTCCATCTAACCCTGATTTTATTTTAGTAATATGGCTCTTTTCTGCTTAAAAGTTTTTAAACCCACTGAGGTACTAACACACACATTTATTAGGGTATAAAGTCAACCACTGTGACGTTGTGTTACTGCTTGCCAACAGTGATGTAGCATAGAAAGTGACTGAAACTGTCTTTGTTTTGCTTCAGACAGTATTGAAGACTACATTCAGACCACATCATCTAATGTGGAATCGGCCAATCAGGAGCTTGCCAAGGCCAATCAGTATCAGGTAACCAATCAGCTGTGCTGCACTATGGTCTACTGCACATTACTTTGCATAATCTTTGTTTGTTCTAACTGTACAGTACTGAGCATTTGCATTGTAATGCAACCTCAGGAAGCTTAGCCTGATCGCCCATGCAAACAGAGACTTAGCTCACTTGATTACACAGCTTTATCACCCCCCCCCCTCCACACCTCACCCACTACCACCCCCAGCATAATTGCACAGATGATGTAATTTCATGTCATCTTTTACTAGCTTCCACATTTACTTCAATGAATTATACGTAGAGAGAGGAAACATAAAGTACTTGCCTTAAGTCTTGCAGAATAACAGAACAACATATATAATTTGTGGTACATGAGTGCCTTTTACCGAGATAATAATTATACATTTACGGTGTTGGCCCAGACGTACGTTAAATTAGAGTAAAATGTGTTATTAGGCAACAACTGCTGTTAGAAATTAGGCAGGAATGTTCTTTGTTCTGTTCTGTGGATTGGGGTGGTTAAAATTTCCACTTCAGAGCACATTCTGGAGAGATGTTTTAAAAGATGCCCTAGGGTCTCCTTCTGCTCTTTCTGTTCAAGGAAATATGTGTAAATTGTGCCATTCTTTCTGGAACTATAGCAGTTGGCTGTGCTCTATGTGTCTATGCTATGTAAGCCTCTAGCTATGGTAAATAATGTATTGACTGAAGTGTCAAAGGGTTAATAAAGTATACAATTCTTTAAATGCAGTACACATCTACAGAACCGCATTGCATCTACCTCCTTGTTCAGGTAAACGGGAAAAACTAATGTACTTTTCATACATAATATTTATATTTATATATATTTCATCTGAATCTCTTAGTTATAGCAAATAACAATCATTAAGTCTTTATTTAAATTTAAAAGCTTTAAAAGTGAATAAATCCAGTTTTATTTCTCAAACAAATTTAATTACTAGAAGATCATGAAAAATCATCTTGTTAGCATCAAGTTTTAAAGGGACAGGTCAGTGTTTTTTGTTTTTAAGTGCAGATTTCTTGAAGTTGAAGTAGAAACTCTGTTAGCATATTTGGTATATTCACTCTGAAAGACAGATTATTGTTCCAACTAGTGGCTGGCCAACGCAGGCTTATGCATTAATATATTTACATTCTCAGATGTTTCTGTTTCTGGTTCTGACTCTTTATATCACCATCACATTTTCATTAGAAGGTTGTTTACATTGATGTTTTCTGTTATTTGTACAGAAATATGTGAACCACTGCAAAGCAAAACGTAAGCCAAGACTTACTCCTTCACAAAATTATGAATCATTTTTAAATTAATAAACACTGAAGCATATTGTAATGATACATACTACAGACAGCCAATTATAACATGCTCTTTTGTATAATACTGAGTTAATATTTGTTGTATGATCTAGCAACACTTTTAAAATAAATATTGCTTTAACTAGGCATTCACTGACAGCCGATAGTTTAAAAGACATTCCCAGTAATCCCTTAAAATACGAAGCAGTCCTACCTTTTACTATAAAATTAGATCAATTAAAAATTCACATGATTCTGAATTTTTTAGAATCAGTGTGAAGTTATTAATTGTTGATAATTCATAGTCACAATTTGAAGTAATCAGAATGCTTAAAATTTAAGTATTGCAGATTTTGACTGTTTCAGAACCACAGCTGGCAAAGTCTACAGGATTTTCCCCCCATAAAACAGATCCTTCCAAATCTTGTAGTATATTATTAAGCATGTTAAAATGACACATATTTGAACCATAAATGTCTGGTAAAACTCTATCAGTTCAGCAAACAAATACAGTCTTGTTTTAAACCAGAACACATGCAGAATGTTTATGTGCAGAAATAAGAGAATAAGTCAACATTCTGTAACACCTGAAAACAACATCAAGCTGAAAGTGGTGAGGGAAAAAAGTCCAAATCCAACTGGTCCAAAACACTGAACAGAATACAAATTCAGACAAATTCATGTTTAAGTCTGTGTTTTTTTTTTAAAAAAAGGAGTTTCTTTATTGTCATATAAACCAAGAAAGTTTTCTCTTTTCAGCAGAAATGTTTGTTAAGAATAAAGAAAGGTAATTGTTAGGTTTTTTTATTACAAATTCTTTAATTTATTTTGTTTCTGTTTTCAGTTGTGTAAACATTATATAATAACTTGAATAAATACTATTAGATATTTACTTCTGAAATTTAGGTATTAGAAAATAAAAGTGGAAATATTGGAATTCAGAGAAAAAAAATAGAAATATAGGAAAAATAAATCTGATTTTATGGGACCCTTAGAGTTATTTACTGCAGATAAGATACTGACATCTCATAACAGGATACAATAAAATCTTATCTGATATAACAACAGACAGGGCTGGGCGATAAATCAGTTTTATTAATCAAATTTACTGATTTCAAAGATTTCATTTTTGGAAAATTGTGATTTTTTGTTCAAGAACTACATAGTTCAAAGTGATTGTAACCCACAAAGGCCATTCATTTTGTTTAATAAGCTTGTTTTGTAAGTTTTGTTTATCTGAACTTTGATCTCAGGTCGATTGAAAATCGGATTTGGTATGAAAAAAAAAAAAAAACGGAATAATTAATTAACCCTTATTGCCCAGTGTGAACAAGACGTTAAATTCATTTATTTAATTGAAATATTTACTTAAAGGTTTGGCAAGATGGAAGACCCAAATTGTGAGACAAAGGAATATAATGACAAATTAAAAATAGGAACGTATAAGGTTGAAAATGCTACAGAAAATCCAAAACCAAAGAAAAATCCTAAATATGTGGCAAAAGAACCGTGGCCTCTAAAAGTAAGTACAATCGTCATTCAACAGGAATAGTGAACACAATGTGCTGCTGTACAGCGGTGAAGTAATCAGTAAGGTTAACATTATATTTTGAAGGTTTCTTAGTAAAAACAGGGTCTGACTTTGTGGGTTGAATGATGGCACGGTCTCCTCATCCAGGCCTCGGATTTCCCCAGTTACTCCCGTCTCCTCTTACAACCTGAAACGTGGGAGAGGTTCATTCTTTTCTTTAAATAACCTTTAAGGGTGTGTGTTTGTGTGTGTGTGTGAGTTTGTGTGTGTGTGTGTGTGTGTGTGTGTGTGTGTGTGTGTGTGTGTGTGTGTGTGTGTGTGTGTGTGTGTGTGTGTGTGTGCGTGTGTGTGTGTGTGTGTGCTTGTGTGAACATGTGTATGTGTTTACTCTGCCTCCTGCCTGTTGACTGTCAGATGGGCTGGATTTAGATCTACAGATATTCATTGTTTGCTGTCCCTACAGACACATCCACTGGCTGTGGCCCATTACACAAAATGTTTTTTAACTGATCTGTTTATTCAGTCATCTCCTAATTTACATAAATTATTGACATCCAATACCCCACTATATGTGCTATTAAAACAACTATTGAGCTCTCTCCAGCTCCCGTCTTGACAGCAGTGCTCTCTTGTCTTTCCTCCCAAGCTGCTGCTCCACTTCCAAGCGAACAAATGAGCGAACAGCAACAGCTTTCCCATTAATTGTCATTTCATTATCTCAAGGAGAGCTGAGCCGTGACGGAGCTCACACCGAGCAATTTAGCTCTCCACCAATCCAGACGTTCGCTGTCTTTGCAGAGGCAGACCAGTTGAATGGAAAAAAAAATAAAAACAAAGGCGAAGACAGACACACAAAGTCAGGGAGAGAAACTTCCAAACTGATCTGTGACGCGTCCAAACGGAACAGCTTTATTCATTCTTTAGGACTTAAGAAATGTCATTTTTCCTCAGTCACATTAACATCTGCTGTTCTGCATCACTTAGTGCACTTACCATGTGTCGTTCATGTTTGTCACACTTTGTCATATTTCAGACTGAAATATCTAATTTCTATATATACTAATACCTGCTTCTTTTTCTGTTCGTATTGATTTCTCCACTGTCTTCTAGAAAATCCTGGCTAAAATTAATGGACACCAAACTCCACAGGTTCTGTTGGTGGCGTTCAGTGGCTTACAAGTTCATACAGCCTTGTTAAAATATTAGTCTTTGAATTATCTCAAAACCTTTTCTAAATATAATGTGATATAATATTCATGAGTAAAAACATCATTATGTTCATTCTGAAATGATAATTTTTAACATGTTGACCACATAAACATCAGTATTTTTGAATTGGTAGGATTGATCTGGAATAAACATCACTAAACCAAAACCATAATAATAAACAGTAAAAGGTCAAATCTAAGCTTTTCTGGAGGACACCACAGGGCATGGCTCTATGTGGCAACTTAGCAAAAGTTGAACTTTTTTTTTACCAAAGCCAATCTGCAAAACATCAAATATGCTGATGGTGTTTAAGGTTTTTGCTGCATTGCTGATGATTATTATTGCATATCGTTCCCTCATGATGCCAAAATTCGCCATGAAGTCTATGTTTATTTGCTGCTCCTCTTAAATATCATAATCAGGGTGGCTGCAAGGGACACTGAGGTTTATGTAAATTGCACATAAGCCGATTACAAGTGAGGCAGTTCTGCTGTAAATATTATTTATTTTATGGACTTCCAATTTTCCCAACCAAATGCGATAAAGAGAGAAGAATATTATGGTCATTATCATTGCATTACATTACTGGATTATGAGGACATTTCTCATGTCACACAATATTTTTTTTCCCTCCTAGAGACTGAGGAAGCATTTCCAACATGTAGAGATAAGTGAGATAGTTGATTAGTTGGGCAGTACCATAAACTGCATTCACAGTGTTATTGCAGTAAAATGTCGTGTTAAGACATTAAGTAGTCACAAATATTTTGGTAAAGTGTGGAAGTCTTTTTATCTCTACCATAACCACTTTCCTCCTGTAGGGCTGCCACAGCTTTCCTGTGGCCTCTTTGGTACTTCTTGAGCTTCTTATTTGCCTTCTGCATATAAGAAGGCAGATAAGGATCTTCATTTCAATTGAGGTGCTGTGGCATGGACTTGAAAAGTCAGTTCATGCTTTTTTAACCCTCCAATGTGACTAAATGACATATATTCTGCAAAGATGAGTGGTCAAATGTAGATTTAGAATCTGCATTTTGTGTTATGTATCTTTAATGTTTAATTTGATTTAATGTTTTAGTGCGACAAACTTGCAAAAAAATAAAAATAATGGAATAAATAAAGGAAATCAGAAAGGATCAAGCTCTTTTACACACCACTGTAGTTGACTGGTTGAGTTTAAGGCTCAGGAACACAGATCTTTAGTTTGAGGTTGTGCCTAACATAATGTTGATGTATCATCAGATCGTCCTACACTACATGTTTTCAATAGAGACAGAAAGACAGCAGACAGCAGTCATGACCAGCTTGGTTACTGCAAGGTGCCTTTGGAAACAGAAAAACTCAAATTCATCAGCCACTTCATCACCATTCTAGACAGCTGGCTGGTGAATCCTTTTCACATTGGTAATATATGGCTTGTAATAATAGAAATTAACACTTGTTTGTGGATTGTAGTTTGGAAGTCAGTCGGTTAAAAGTGATATACCAGATAAAGATCCACTGTAGGACCAGACACTCAAACTGACAACAATGTTCAAAATTATAATTCACCTTCCTTTGATATTTTAGATAATGATGAAAATTCAATATCGATATAAAAATCAGCTGTAAACATATCAGATCACTTGGCAACCAGTTTTAGATCTCTTAAAACTATCTGACCTTATGATATACCAGAACATATGAGACATCCCCATTGGAGGATTTAAGTTTGATTTTCAAACTGTGAAAGTATGTATTTCTTCTGACATTTTGCGCCACCCATCTGCCGTGAAGTGCCAGCACTAAGGAGACACACTCTGGAAGATTAAGTTGTTGGTGATAAGAGCGTCCCATCTTTTTGCTGCTTTGTCCTCCCGCTTAGTCCGCATAGCGCTCTGTAAAATTCCAGTTTAAAAATACTGCAACACTTCCTTTGTTATGTTAAGCCCTTTCTTGTTCCCAAATCTACCTTATTTATTTTTGTGTACTCCCCAAATAACAGCAGCATTGGGATGAAAAAGAGAGGGAAGGATGTATTAGAGGAGCGGGTGGGGAGGAAGGAGGAAAGAGGAGAACAGGAAAAAAGGGAGAGAGGAAGAGAAAGTTTATAAGGAGTAGTTTAGGAGGAAATGTGAGAGAGAGGCAGGGGAATCTGTGGTGGCCAGCTGCATGAGGGGAGATAGTGGAGAAAGGCTTTTAATTCTCAATCCCCACAGAGCCTTTGAAAATTACCAATCTTCTTATCACAGACGCAGGGCTGCTTATGCAAATTGTTGTGGAGTGGAACGTTTAAACGGAAAATTACTCGACAGCATTTTTTTTTCTTTCCATCTTCGCTCTTCTCCTCTCTCCCTCTCTCTTCCACACAGAAAGCCTGTTTTGAGTCTCAGATAAGAAGATGAATTGCTCTCTCCGTGCTTTGAAGCGCGTCAGGATTTAAAGACTCCAGCCTCGGCTCTGGTCTAACGCCGCTGTTCTCGCTGCCTTTGTAGCAGAAAACAGGCTGGGAAAAAAATGGGAGAAAAGCGTTTCAAAACAACATAGATTCTGTGCTCCAACACATCGTAACCGCCCGAGGAGACAAGTAGCTAAGGAAAATATAGAAATATCCCCATAACCCTGCTCTTCAATGTTTCCTACAATTGTTCTGCACACCACAGCTAACATGGCTCTTACTTTTACACCAGAAGCTAATTGACATGAAAATTTTAATTTAATTTGTTTTGTGAGACAAATTTTAGAAGCTCAGTTTCCCCACTGGTGATAAATCTCCACATTTTTTACTTATTTTACTGCAAATTTTCTTAAAATTGGTTAAAAGCATTGAGTAATAAAACGTCACATTTATCATCATACATTAGCGCAAACATCGTAAAAATTCCTATCAAACATTTCTAATTTGGCACCACAGAATGTGCAATTTTGATTTTTAAAAATCATTAAAACAATCACAAAATCCTGAAGGAACAGCTATTTATTGGTATTTTAACAATTTAATTGGTTTTCTTAATGTATTGTGGCACAATCAGCCCTTTTAGAACATTCAGATTTTTGATACAGCCCAAAATGAAATTAAAAACCCTTTTCTAAACTATAAAGGATCAAAAGTAAACAAATAAATAAACTGTTAAAATACTGCTTAAATGTAACATTTCATAAATTAATGTACTACAAAGTATATTTCATGTTACTTAATTTAATTCAGGGAATCTGAGGTATTGTTTTTCCACATGGAGAGTTCAGACTCCACTGAAAATCTTGGGATGTTCTGGAGAAGGATTGGCACAGTGGTCAGACTCTCCCATCATCAACACATGGTCTTGCTGAAAAATGAAAGCAATGCCAGATGGAAATAAATCTTGCGACATTGCATAAGTTTAGTCAAACAATGCTACATTGTGTGCTATGGTCAAAGTTAAAGGTGGTCCAACCTTAGAGCATGTGATTTTTTTGTGGCAACTTATATTTGACCATGCTGAGTTTCCCTTGTTTTTCAGAGGACCATCAGGGGTGAATGGAATATGAATGAAATATGGCGGGCTTTTTCAGCTGCTGCTTGTTGGCTGCTTCTTGTCCGTTCATACTGGAACACATAGCTAGCTGCACTGCTGCTGCTATTTACGAAGCACAGCTTTACAGAAAAACTGGGACAGAAACTTCCATCATATCGTCCCAGTTGCAGCAAATAATTGAAACCATACACATATGTGTTTCTGTGTGTGATAGAGGGGCTAAATATTGTAAACATCCCGTTGGTCACACCGACTCAAAATCTCTATAAAGGTTGAGCAAAGTCAGCACTCATTTATGGTGATGCTTTATTGAATGTATTTTCAGATTTCTGTGTAATTTTTCTCCAGGTTGATTTAAAAAGTGAACTGTATTATCATTACTATATTATTTTTATTTCCCTCCAGTTTTGACCCCATGTGAAAACAACCACCCCACCTACATTACTTCTCTACATCAAACACCCCATAATCCTTGCATTGCTTTAACTGTCACATAATCAAACAAATACCACTATAAAATATATTGGACCCCCATGGATTAGCTGACAACCAGATTCCATATGCTATTATAGGAATGTAATGTTAGAACGTTTACATATATCCTCTTAAACGTAAGATGCTTATTATGTTCTAATGATGAAATATGCTTCTTTTGGTCTACAGAGGCAGTTGAGAAAAAGAAAGTGTTACCTTCTGTTGGCCGGAGCCTTGATCCTCGCCATCCTCATCCTCATTATTGCTGTTTCAGCAAGAAAATGAAACCTACCTCTTTGGTAAGAGCTATAAGAACAAATCACTCCCATCCCTTTATTAGAATATTAACCTTTTCACTTTTTGTTTTGCATTGAAATGTTACAGTTGTTCAGTTGAAGAATAGAGCTTGCACGTATTGCTTTTTTACTGCTTTACTTATAAAGACAGGTTGTGTAGTGCTCATATGGAATAACCACACAAAAGCTTTGGCATTTTCTAAGGTGTGATATACCTAAGATTGCATTCTGAATTGCTTATATTGCCCAGACCCTTTTGAGTTCTATGCATGTCATTAAATGATAAGGTGACATGACATAAATGTTGAACAGGTACTTAAATGATATGGTCATGAATTTTGTCTCTATCTGGCTTATGCAGAAAAATAATTATTTATGTTCTGCTGTAGGGTTGATATATCCCTATATATAATATCTTCAGTTTCCTGAAGATATTAAAGCTGAAATAATTTATTTTACTGAGTGAATGGTATAAAATCTTGACTCATCTGGGGCTCTGGTCAAAGCAGTAAAGTTTTTTGCCGTGTAGAATATGCAGAAGAAGTATTCACACCCCTTGTACATTTTGTCACATTACAACTGCAAACTCCAATGCATTTTAATGAAATTTTATGTGGTAGACTATCAAAAAGTAGCTTGACGTAATAAAATGTTATAAATAAGTAAACATCCCATGCAAAATGTATAGTATTTTACAGTGTTG